CACACAAAATAATATTTATGATATATACTAACGAACTGAATCAGCAGCAATGATATGAAGTGAAATGAATTGTATATTTATTTGAAGTCAAACATACACAAAGGTTGAAAATATAATGAAAAATTTAAAATCAATCCAATTTAATTAATTTAATTCAAACTCATCTTTCTACTAGTTAGGGGGAATTCTTTAATTACTTAGCTCTCTGCTTCAGTTCTTTTCACTTACATTGAACCTGAAAAAGGAAAAATTACATTTACTGTGTAACTTGTTGGAAGATAGTGTCATCTTTAGCACAGTGCAACAGGTATGAATGACTTTAATATTAAACACTTAACAAAACTTTTACTTGCAGACCTGTGGCACATATTACTACTATAAATGTAACTTTCTCTTACAGTCAAAAGTAAGTTGAAATGAATGTTCACAGAGAGATAATTTCAGTCCTACCTTATAATTAAACCTAATAAAAGCTGCAAAGGCTGCTCTGGACTACATAATTAAGAATATCTGTTAGTTCTAACAGGAAGAAAATAAACCACGTAATGTAATGTAACGCACTTGACAGCTCAGCTGAACAACAGAGAATGTTCCACAACATCAGGACGATATATAACTCATATCGTTTATGACGGGCCACTTACTGGGTGCTGTATCTCTCATAGTTTACATCAGTCAGTGTGTGCGTGCGTTTCTTTTGGCAACTGGGTGCATGTTCATTCAATCGCTCGCACCGTGGCAGCTTAGTTTCCATGACACTGAAGGAATGAATGGTATGAAAAATGATTTATTAAATTTGGCTACATAATATTCCTTCCTCTTTTACTGACAGACTAGATGGAGAGTTCTTTGGAAAGTTAGAAATAAAAACAGTCCCAAGAGACTTGTTTCACAAAACCTTACTGGGACCATTTTAAGTCCATACTCAGAATTTATTTGGACTTCTAATTTGGAATCTAATGACATGCCATTTTTAACAGTGTTCTAATATCTGTCCATTTATTATTGTAAGCATATAGATGATCCAAATACTGTTTAATTTATTTAAAAGAATATTATTGAAAAATCAAGGGCATTCCTTACAAGTCATTTTGCATTATACTTTTATGAAAATGCAGTTCAGAAATAACTTTTGACAATTTGCTTCAACTTTGTATGCTGCCGTAAATTTTCAATATAATTAAGATGGTAAGAATGTAACTAAGTAAATTTTTATAGAAGAACTAACAGATTGAATTCTTGTTTGCTATATATTGTGGCAATAAAGAAAATCTGTTTGTAAATACAAACCATTATTTTCACTGAGCCTAAATATAAATCATATTTATGTGTTCATCACTGAGATCATGCCACACAAAATAATATTTATGATATATACTAACGAACTGAATCAGCAGCAATGATATGAAGTGAAATGAATTGTATATTTATTTGAAGTCAAACATACACAAAGGTTGAAAATATAATGAAAAATTTAAAATCAATCCAATTTAATTAATTTAATTCAAACTCATCTTTCTACTAGTTAGGGGGAATTCTTTAATTACTTAGCTCTCTGCTTCAGTTCTTTTCACTTACATTGAACCTGAAAAAGGAAAAATTACATTTACTGTGTAACTTGTTGGAAGATAGTGTCATCTTTAGCACAGTGCAACAGGTATGAATGACTTTAATATTAAACACTTAACAAAACTTTTACTTGCAGACCTGTGGCACATATTACTACTATAAATGTAACTTTCTCTTACAGTCAAAAGTAAGTTGAAATGAATGTTCACAGAGAGATAATTTCAGTCCTACCTTATAATTAAACCTAATAAAAGCTGCAAAGGCTGCTCTGGACTACATAATTAAGAATATCTGTTAGTTCTAACAGGAAGAAAATAAACCACGTAATGTAATGTAACGCACTTGACAGCTCAGCTGAACAACAGAGAATGTTCCACAACATCAGGACGATATATAACTCATATCGTTTATGACGGGCCACTTACTGGGTGCTGTATCTCTCATAGTTTACATCAGTCAGTGTGTGCGTGCGTTTCTTTTGGCAACTGGGTGCATGTTCATTCAATCGCTCGCACCGTGGCAGCTTAGTTTCCATGACACTGAAGGAATGAATGGTATGAAAAATGATTTATTAAATTTGGCTACATAATATTCCTTCCTCTTTTACTGACAGACTAGATGGAGAGTTCTTTGGAAAGTTAGAAATAAAAACAGTCCCAAGAGACTTGTTTCACAAAACCTTACTGGGACCATTTTAAGTCCATACTCAGAATTTATTTGGACTTCTAATTTGGAATCTAATGACATGCCATTTTTAACAGTGTTCTAATATCTGTCCATTTATTATTGTAAGCATATAGATGATCCATGACATTTCAATTAAGAAAATATCCTGTTCATTTATACCACCATAATTCTGTTAAGAGACATTTAGAATATTAAGTGAAGCTGGATAAATTATGATAAGAAAGCAATGATACTGATGGGAGGAGAAAATTAATGTTTTGACTACACAGTATTATGTTCAATAAATAGATTATACAGAGTGTGCCAGAAATACCTGGTGGTTTTAGAAATGTAATAACTTTTCAAAGCAGAGTGGAAAAATTTATTAACACAGGCAGATGCATTTCCATGTTCGTCGAGAATTTGTTCTAAGCATTACTGTTTGAGTATGACATCTTGCGGGTGACATTCTTATTTTTCAACACACTTTTGCAGTAGAGACTGCATGGATGCCATAATACGTTGTAGTACACCATACTGTCACTTTCACACTATGCAGAGAACGTTGGTGAAGTTAATGCGGGTTGTTTGCAGCCCCAAAACAACGATTTTGTTCATCCACATAACCTGAAATGTGGAAGTGGGCCTCATCTGATATCAGTAATGAGTTCACAATGTTGCGATTGTTATTCACCACGTTCAAGAATTGATCGCAAAAATGAAGTCGGTTCACCTTGTCCTGTTCACTAAGTTCCTGGGTAATTTGGATTTTGCAGGGATGTTAATGTAAATCTTTGTGCAGAAATCGCCAAACGCTACTGTCCTTTAAACCAAGCGTGAGAGCTTGCCTTCGAGCTGACCTGGCAATATGGCTTCTCTTACTCGCACTGCATTTTTGGGTGTACGCACCGAACGAGGACGTCCTTTAGGTTTACTGTCCTTCACTGATCCTTCTTGATGCCATTTCGATACCCACAACAGCAGGGTATTTCGGCTAGGTGCATCGCGTGTTCAAAAATGTAGTCGGAAACCACGCTGTTTAGCTGTAATTGACTCACTTCTCATAAACAGTTCCACAGCCGCTATGTGGTACTGCAACTGACAAGCGTTCCATCTCAACTAAACTCCAAAGAGCACTCTACATGATGAATGTTGGTATCGAAGTGCAGAAGAAAAAGATGGTAATTACATTTCAAAAACCGTCAGGTATTTCTGGCGCACTCTGTAGCTGTTTTAAAATCTGAAGCATAATTTAGTATACCACATGCACAATTTTCATATTGTATCTACTTACATTTATTGTAGGTATAATAAAGTTTTGAGAAAAAATATTTTTAACTGTTAATAATATAAATTACTTATTTTTGCAAAGAAGAATATATTTAGATTTGTTGCATTCTATTACAGAGCCCTATCCTAATGTGATTGAGAAATGGATGCCCTTCAATTTATAATTAGAAAATGCAGCTGACAGTTAATTAAAGTGGCAATATTAGCCTAATTTCTATAAAACTCTTGACACATTGTTGATGGAATTTTAACGGTGAAATACCATCATACTGTATACTGTGAAAAAATTTCAGAGCTTTTCAGAAAGTGACTTTCAGACTAATAAGACACCAATGTCCTAGCTATCTCATGGTACATACTGCACAGATACTATGAATGATAAATAGCACTTGATTATTCTGAAGATGATCTGGTATAAAAATCAAAATAAATAAATACTTAATATAACAATTTTGGATCAAAAGAAAAAAAAAATCTGTTCTTCAGGTCTGCATTGATGACTTTTGGTATCAACTGAACTTCCATTGGTATGGGTTCTATTATGACTGGAAGTAACTCAGAATTTCTATTCTTAACAGCTATGTAAGTTTATGCCATAAATACAAGTAGTGTTTGATTTTATGTAATATTTTATAGTAGATTACTTAGAATAATGCAGCTTTGAGGCAGCTGGAAATCTCAATCTAAAAGAAAGTGGTCTAATTATTCATTAATTTTAAATGTTTACACTTGTCAATCAGACAATTAAGAAGTCACATTCACACGGATAAGTTCCCCTTCTGAGTTACGAATGAAAGAAGTAATTTCTAAATTTGTGGCTGAAGAAGTTACCAATAGCAATATTTCCAAATTGTCAGTATTTATTAATTTGATATGAAAGTTGAAGAATGTCTGAGTATGGACAAATACAACTAAATGGAAGCAGCACTGCATGTCTGTTGAGTCCTGTAGACACTGAAACAAATGAAAATTGCAACTCCCAAAGCACACAAACCATTATAAATACCTACTGTTTTTTGCTGTGATCTTTTCTGAATTTTTAATTGTAGAAAAGCTGAGGAGAGGCATTTTTAAAACATAAACATATTATAATTAAATTATAAAACTGGTACTGATTCTGAAACCAGCCTACATGGCACAGTCTATGAACATAAACAAACATGAACAGCATTTTATATAACATTTTAATGATTTGAGAAACTATAATTAAAAATAATTCACTGGTAAAGTAGGAAACTAAAATTTCAATCATTTTATCAAAATGTATAGAAATAAATTTTTGAGACAGAGCTTCTTGGTTTTTGGACTTTGTCTACCATCTAGAATTCTGAACTGAACATGGTTATCTAACAATAGACACATCTTATCTGTAAGAATTCAGAAGCATAGGCATGATGAACGAGTTTTACATTTTAGCTCAAAGACCTCGCTTTATTGCAGAAATAATAAAAATATTTATAATTGTTCTGGCACACCTGTGCATGCTGGTAGCTGCTGCTGTGGCGGCTAGGCTACAGTGGGGGTTAGTAAGGGCGATTTGCATCCTTGGGCCTCTTCAACTGCACTTTGAGCCGCTTCATGCCAATCTGGAAACCATTCATTGCCTGGATTGCAGCCTGGGCGCTTGCTGGGTTGTCAAATGATACAAATCCTGTATAATAAAATAAAATAATAAATACTGTCACAATACTGAAAGACATGTATATATTTACGGTGGCCTTATAATGCCTTTTTTTTTCTTACCAAAGCACTTGCTCTGGTTGGTGGCGCGGTCAATGAACACCTTGGAACTGATAACATTTCCGAATGGCAAGAACATCTGCATCAGTTCTGCATCACCAAACTCCTGAGGTAAGTGGTAGATGAAGAGATTGCAGCCTTCTGGTCCTGAGATGGAGCAGCCTATGTCATACAAACATACAGACAAGCAGTGCTCAGTGTATCACTCACTTCACAGTTTACATGGACCCAGGCATTGCTGATCTACTAACAATTATGTAAAAAATTATTTATTTTTATACTGAACAAATTTCTTATGGCTGCATTTAAATTAATCCAAACACTTAATTAAATTCTGTTCTTATTCTGTTGTGAGATCAAAGACAGTGCTGAGGACAGATCATATATTTATTATGCAAAATCAGAAAGATTAGAATTTTAGCTTATTCGAAGAAAATACCCTAGCATTAATGTGTAGCTGTGTCATTGAAGTTAATAGCAATTTCTAGCTCATAAATACTAGCTGGAAATTATTCTTAACTTAGCAGTGGTAACTCTGGTAGCGAGAAATGCAAATGAGGCTATGGTAGCATCTGTTGTGAGGTCTGGTTTCTGGAGACAGCTGGCTATTTTGGGTTGGTGCATTTGGAAAGAATCTGGTTTTCATTCACCACAAAGATGTTTTCACATTTGAAATTGCTTTACAATTAGACTCCATACTTTCATGTACATCTTTTTAAGTTACAGAGTAATGTCAAATTGTGGAGCATTTATGTTAACCATGCTAGCCTGGCCAACACTTTGAAAAACAATTTTTTGTAATTGCATAAGCTTCGATGTACATGTATGGTGTGATGAAACTTGCAATTGTGCATCAAGGAGATGAAGTATAATGTATATACTCAATTGTCAAAATTTTCACAACCCCTGCCTCAAAATTTGGCTAATACTTTTGAATAACTCACATGCCATTACTGGTTATGTCATAATGTTGTCCACCGAAGTGCCCCATGTTTCACTTCAAAGGCTTCAAGATTCACAAATGTAGTCAAAGTGATGGAATAACCTGTATGATGTTGTGCCATGTGTATGTGCAGTCCAGCTAGCCATGAATCAGTAGCATACCACTAAAACATTAACCCCAAATTTTATAGTCCAGCTAGAATCCTTGTAATACGGGGGTTAAAATGACCCATTCCCACGTGATAAATGTTAAGAGATCTATTTCAAGGAGTACAAATACCAGCTTTCATTATGGAAACTCTTTATAAATTGTCCTAATTCTGATTTTATGCCTTCAGAATTTTCATTCTGATGTCATTTAGAGCTAAATAACCATGAGACTGGCAGATAGGCCCCCTCCACTTGAGTTTAGATTAATGAAATCAAAATTAAGTCAACCAATTATCGTGAATACTGTGCTGATTCCCTGCTTTGTATGGTTGCAGATAAAATGCAGAAAAGAGGATTTAGTATTATCCCATTCAAAGATGCCTGTGCTTCAATTCTTAGTTTGTTTACAATGGATATGTTAAGGCATTTAATTATATAAAGCGTAGATGATGATAGAAATATTTTTTTACCAAAGCTTGTAAAAGTACTGGAAGATGATAGAAGTGAATATACTGCACTGATGAAAATAGCCACTGTGCATGTTTATGAAAACTGGGGCCAGATCTATGAATTTGTAAAAGACAAATATATGTCTCTATATACCATTCCAGATTTCCTGGTAAAGTGTAAATGGACATTATGCTAGTTGAGTATTTTCAGAATTTCAAATAAATGATATTCTTGATTATTTTATAGTGCTCTGTTAAATTACTGTACTTTATGAAAAAGAAACTAAATCTTGGCAAATCACATAAAATATTTTATATTAGAAAATTTAATTTACACTAACTTTCAGGCCCAACTTTCAAAGAAAGTAATTATTAAAAGTAACACGTTAGCACAGTTTATGGTTTTCCTCAATCTTTCCAGATGAATGCTGCCTAGCACCTTCAAGCAGATCGATTGCTTCCTTTCAATTACTTACCCATTTACTGTTCATGACTATCTTCCCATCTCACTGAGTGCTATAGCCGAACAACTGAAACGTTGCAGTTAAATGGACTAAGAATCAAAATAAATGATTACAAATTAAGTTTAATCGGTTATCAAAAGAGAATATTCTACTATAAGCTAATTTCAAAATACAGATCAGCAATACCCATAATCCATTCAAAATAACACCTAAATACAGGATGAAACAGGGAAAGGGAACAAAAAAATAAGTAGTAAATACAACCAACCTTCATTACCTTAACACTGACTCCACTGTAGTGATGTTATTCCATGTGCCAGCCACTATGTTAAGTCAGAAGCCTGTGGCGATTTATGTACAGTGTGAAGTAACATGATACAAACCATCATTGATCATTAGCCAAATAAATGAAAAAGTAGTTAATAATTAGAAAGAAAAACATACAAACAAACAATAGGTAGGGCATTACACTGGGAACATAACAAAACATCAACAATAGGAACAACGGTGGAATATTGAAAAAAGTGCATAGCACCATTTTTGCGCTAAAAATAAAAATTGAACCTAACAAATTAAAAATTAATATAAAATTATGCTTATGACATTCACAAAGAATGCAAGTTAAAATATAAATTAACAGACACTGACAATGTTTATTAATTAAAAAAATGCAATGCATTAATGCACCAAAATGTCTTTTATGCTGTACACATAAAAACACTCACACACACATTCCTGCAGATCTATCATCCTGCATTTACACTATTAAATATATATATAAATATTTCTGCAACAGAAAAGGCTTTGTACAAAAGTTTCATTCTTTATTGCTTGTTCTCTTTTCGTGTAGAGGGTTCTAACATATAAAAATCCTTTGAATGCCATATAGTTATTTCTAATATTTATATATTTTTTTGATCAATGAAAAAGACAACAACATTTAATAGTTAAATTGCACTTACAATGTTAGTAATACATAAAAATAAACACTGAAAGTAACAACAATAACTATGAAACTATTGTACAGTATTTCAAGCTGTGGGGTTTTTAAATAAACTTCTTAAATGATTTTTTATGACAGCTTTTTCTTCTATTTCCTTTTCTGCAATACAATATTAAATGGAGAGTTTAGCAGAGGTGCAAAAAGTTAAGTAGAAATTCTATATGGACACAACGAAAAAGTACTATGCAGGAGTAATTGTCTATGTATATGTATTTATACAACAGAAGCAAATTCTTAAATTAATGGACAAGGATTTAAAAAACTCATATGACCATAATAAGCTAAATACATTTTCATATTTATCCAAGAAACTGAAAATGTTTATCTATTTACAGTGTTACTGATATATATACAAATCTTATGACTGACTGTGTTCTGATGTACAGAGTTTAACTAAGATCTGGGCCTTCTGGATTCTAAAATTGCCCTAATAGATGTATATGTGACTTACATTTTTAAATTTTGGACTGAGAGTATGAAGGATGATGCAGTAAATAGTGTACTTTTATAAACTTTGTCATACTTGTTTTATTACTTTCCTTAAAATTTTAAGATTAAAATAAACAATAAACATAACAGAATAATGAGATTTCAGGTTCTCATGTTGGTGACTATAAAGATGGCTGTCTTCTGGATAGTTGTGCTATGAAGTCTGGTAGAAGTTTACTGACATTTCAGAGATGCCTGCTGCCCCCATCATCAGGGAAATTAGTGTCATCGCCCTGATGATAAAGACAAGCACCTCTGAAACAACACTAAAATTCTTCCAGACATGGCATAATAATCCACATAACGGCCATCTCCATTCACTTTCATTAAACTCTATATAGTAAACCCTCAATTTAACAGACTAATAGGGGAGAATATGTGTCTGGTAATGCGAATTGCCCATTAAATTGCACACTTGTTTCTATGATGCCGGTAATACAACCTTAAACCATAATTTCCATTAGGAACACCATTAAATATTAGTAAGTTGATGTGGGCACCTACAATGACACAAGGTTAATTAAATTCCAGTGTTCATATCCAGAAGAAGAAGAGGAAGAAGAAAAGACAATACCTGACGGTGTATGTTAAATCCAAAATTCATTAAATTGAGGGTTAACTGTTCTGTTACAAATGAACAAACCAGTCAATTGAAGAAAACTGAGTATTATTACTGTAAATCAATTATAATGTACAAATCTCTAGAGAAATTTACTTTACAGGCCAAATGGGATTGGCAAGGACACAGGTTATATATCAAGGACTTTTTGCACCACTGAGAATTAAAGTTTTGATAACATAATTCATGGTATGAATTTTGCTGCTTGATTAACTTTTTCCTTTTGTTTCTTATTTTTTCTTACCTTCCCTTTGCGTAGGGGGGACGGTGGACATCGGTTGGGGAATGGCCTGCGGGAACTGGCCGTAAACCGCAGCAGCGGGGTACGCTGCCGGAAGAGAAGGGAGAACACACCAAAATAATAATCGTTGTAATGTTATCCCCCATTTCTTTGCCAATAGGGAGTTAAGACGGCACAGTAATGATACGGAAATTTGGGTGACCAGAGATTCACAGCTCTTAAAAGAATACAAGGCACATATTAATAATGTTTAATTTGTTTTGAATAATACAACTTTAGTTTCTTGTTTTTAATAGTTAAAATATATGAATATTTTTAAATTCATATTCATGAATGTCACTACTGTTCCATTCATAAAACATTTTTATTTATTTCTTATTATTTTCGTGAAATATAACTATTCAGATCCATCCAAGTAGCTGCAATAACAAACACTTTATTTTAGCTCTATGAATTGTTTGTGACAGTGACAGAATCACACAATTCCTATTAAAAATAATTACATAACCAAATAGCTGAATGGTAGTCAAAATCATTTGACTATTGTGGATCATCTGGTCACCCTACTGAATGAATCTGGGATTTATTTTATGAAACTTTCCACACACTATTTAAGACAATATGGCTTCTTGGAAACAAAATATTGTAAAAAATATTCCAAATGCAGAGACTCTGGTTTTGTCCTGTATTAGTATTCCATTATTTTATTTTAGTAGCACTAGTACTGTTAAGGTAGCTAACAAAATTTTTACATTGTTGAAGGCATTTTGAAGAACAATTTTGCATGGACATCATAAAAATCGAATACTTTAGCAAACTATGACTTGAAATATTGTGCTTTCCAGACCCCACTAAATATAGAGTTAGAGAACATATTTTAATGTGTACATTCTTGTAATTAGATTAATAATGAACAAATCATATTTTTACATAAATTAAAGAATTTTTTGTGCCAAGTGTTTATACAATTTCTATTTTATTCATATTATTCATTTTAAGTTCTAATGCAACTTCTGAATTCTCTTAAGTGACATACAGGCATATTAATTTTGATACAGCATGATGATGAAATTAGAATATTAAAGTATGAGTTTTAAACTTAATTCAAGTAATAATTTCTTGTCACTTTTACTTTATAAAATTTGTATTTATGAACAGGAATTCAGCCTCTCAAACGGTCCAATTTTTAATCTGCTTTCCTTATTTTATAAGAAAATATGGGCTTATGGCACCATCATGTTTGCATGCCTGTTTCTCCCTTATCATTCTTGTATCAATTTATCGATTTCCATGAAACTCGATGATCATCAGTTCCGTTAGAAATAATTTCCTACTGATGTAATAGCAGTGAGAACTTGTGAAGTGAGAACACTGGTACCATTGTTGGTGCAGGGAGCATAGGGTTTAGAAATTTGCAATGCATTAAATCTTTGGAAACTGTATTGATATTGGTAAGCTACAGAACTTCTTATTTGATGGCAATAACTAATGAATCATTTAAGCTAGGCACATGAAATTCTGTACCGATAGGTCATAAACATATGCACAAAACCTATGATTTTATGTTAAAACTGCATACTCTGTGATATGTACAACTTTGAGGTTAGGTCTGTATCACATAAATTTAATGTCATCAGAATTTATGATAAGAAGTACACCAGTAATATGAACTGGGAAGCTATAAATATTTATTCACAGTTTTTATGAGCCTAACAATATACAATGAAACATAAAAGCTAAACAGGCATCACAATTTAATCCCATCTACTTGTTAGCACTCCACCCATTATCAGACTTCATAAATCTTTGTAACTGATGCTTTCTTCAGCATTGTCTCTAAATGTAGATATGGGTCTATCTTCTATCATTATTTGATAGAAGTTGCATTATTATTATTATAAGACTTTAAATTAGGACTGAAGGATGACACAATGGATTTATGTCTCAAGACACTTCTAAGATTATTTTGGTTTATGAAGGCATGTTATAATTTTTTGAATAATTGTTTAACAAAGTTAAACAAATTTCATGATGTGTTTATGTTCTCACAGTCATGGTACTTAGCAAGGGTCATTGTTTCAAAGCCACAATTGAACAGAAGAAGCAAAACAAAGGAAAAAATGTTAAAAATTTGAAGCATTATACATATGTGCAAATTTAAAAACAACCATGCAAAGAGAAGCAAGCATGAA